TATGGGAAGTCACATGATTTCTCATGTGACACCGCGCTCCAGAGTTTTGATGTGAATCACCGGTGTTATGTGTCATATGATATACTTTGTATAGTATATAAGCCCGGGCTTTAGCTTAGTAAAGTTGCGAAGTATTGTATCCAGTTTGTGACCTACTGAGCGTTTATTCTATTGTTGTGTATTTCGTGTATGACCTTTGCTTATCGTTTTCTCGTCTCTGCCCTTTTTGCTCTGCCCTTTGGATTTGGTTGCATTTGTCTCTGATTTTGGATTATGACCACTTGCCTGTACCTTCGACCACGCTACTGCTTTCCCCTTTTTGGATTGTTGCCTTGACTGATCTTTGTATCTTTCATGTGCCTTCCAGATCTGAACTCTGCCTGGTTATCGACTACGACTTTGAACTCTGTTTCTACCAGTAAAGCCCTTTCTGTAAGTTATATCTGCGAGCCTCTGACCGTGCTTGAAACCTTACATTGTGCTTCTGTGTCGTAGTTTGTATCTGTAATAATATAGTTTGTAACCATATATCGTGTTGTGCCAGCTGTTATTACAGTGTCTGTCATCATGGGTATGATTCTGTTATTACAAAATTGAAAAATGAACATTTTTACACATCTTTTGAAAGAGAACCATGCTCCCAGTGTAAATTAAGCGATTGCCAATGTAAACAATATCCTGTATGCTGGTATGTAACCAGATCTGGGTGTTGAATCAGGTCAGCATTATCTTACTTTGTTAATTTGTAGATTGCATCCAAGTGGCTGCAAACCTCAAGTTCTTAAAGTTTTATTATATTATATTACATAAACATTGTCCATTGACAGTAAACATATGATAGCAGATCCATTGACGGAACCAAATTTTAAATTGGACAGTCGTACAGTTGTGATTGAACTTCTAATAAAATATGCAACAAGACTAATAAGAGGCTGTCCAGAGTCACTGTAAAGTAAAATACAATGTACTTTAATATGTATTTGGTCAGTTCATAGTAATGTATGCTGAGGTGCCATAGCATTAGCATCTGTCTGTTTATCTAAAAACCTGAATGCCTTTCTCATTATAAATTTAAACTTTATGACTTACATTATAACTACATGTGATCTGCCATGGCTTTAGCCTTGATATGGCTTTAATGTAATGCAATAATTGCAAAGTGCTGAGTGTCACGCTGTGATGTGCTGAGAAATTGAACAGTGAACAATGTCAGTGAAAACATCACTTAATTGAGCATTAGCTTTAGTTCAGGCAGGCCACAAGGTCAAGCTGAGGGCCTTAGCATACTTCTTGTGAAATAAAATTCTCAAGGGTTGTGTGAAGTCGAAAGCGCCTTCACAAGCTTACAAGCTTGCATATTTTCTACGTTTTCGTGTCACCTGCTGCGGATGCTCCACATGACGCCATGACATTTTATGAAAAGTTTCATGACTGCTGGAAAACGATTCTTTCACAGTTCTAACTATGCTTATATTTGAGTTCAGAATACCGTCACCATCTAAGCTGGAGCAGGAAAATTCAAAAAAGAAGCTGATTCGTTTCTCCGCAATTACATCATATTGAACATCATCTCCACAAGCAGTATGCTGAGGCCTTAAGGCCCCAATCTCAAATCACCAGCTGTTATCAGCTGACGGTTCAGCTGTTTGTCTGCTATGCATATGATAAGCTAAATTCATCAGAGCTTTTAAGATTAAGATTAAGTGACCCTTATTAGTCCCACAATGCGGAAATTTCACTTCCGCAATCTAACCCATCTGTGCAATGAAATACCACATACACACTAGTGAAAATACACACTAGGGGGCAGGTGGGCAGCCCTATCTGCAGTGCCTTGCTCAAGAGCACCTCCACATTTGGAGTGCATCCCCCTTAAAAGCCAGATCAGACTTGTGTGGTGTTTGGTTCAAGTACACAGCCCTACAGAGCATCCCTTAATGATGTCCTAACCTTAACCTTAGTCTCTTAGCCCTACTCCAGCTGCTATCATTTATGGCATTCAGCAGATGTTTCACTGATCCATTGTACATAAAAATGACAGAGATGTCCTGCAGTTTCTTTGGTACAAAGTGGTCAACAACCCCATGAGACTACACATATTTGGAAACAGTCCTTCTCCAGCTGTAGGCATCTATGGAATAAGAAAAATCACACGTGAAGGAGAAAAATACTTCAGTGATGACATTATTCACATTGAGAGATCTAAGTATGTTCTTAAATCATTTTTTTACAGAATGTAAAGCCACAAACGTCTTCAGAAAAGAATAAAAATGCTGCCACTCTCCAACGTCAAGCTAAATAACCTTCAACAATGCAGAGGCCATGAAAGCATCCCCTTCAGAGGATCGAAAGATGAGCAAAAGATGTTAACCTACTCATTCAGTGCAGTCTGGGCATTAGTTGAAACAGTCTCTGCATTGTGTTCAAGGTACCTAAAAACTAGAAGCCTTACACTTGTCGTGGAGTGCTCTCCACTGTGTCTAGTTTGTTTGTCCCTTTTAACTGGGATACACTACTTCCTGATAACGAGTATAGGAAATGGAGATGTCACATATACATAATTCTCCCTTTCAAACATTCTCAGCACTGTGCTTTTTATCTTTTCAGATTTCTCAGTTTAAATGATAGCTACAGTCATTTATTTGAGAGTGAAACACAAAGATGGACGCATCAAAACAGGCTTTAAACTTGATAAAGCTAAGCTCACCCTTTACCTGGAGCTCACGATTTCAAGATTCCAAGAACTTTGTACTGCTGTTCTGCCTGTCAAGATTGCTGAACTTGTCTCCATGGAGATACAAAATGGACAAAGCCACATTCTACAGAGACTGTAAGGTGGAGACATAAAACCCTTGTGATTCATTTTGTAGACTATTTGAACAACCATGTTTAGTGCATCAGGCACTTCGGTCTCCCAGAATAGAAAATCTGTTCCCACAGAAAAGAATCCAGCAGATCATGGCTCGTTCTCAGTGCCAGCATGTTATCTTTGATGTACTAACTGTTTTTTGGGCCAATTTTCCTTCATGATTTCCTCCATGATCTGAGATTCCGAGGCCAAATGAAGGAATGTTTTTCAAACTGATTGACCCAGAGTCTGATAAAGAGATATGTGCTGAAGTAATAGCACTCTCTATGAGTGTTTCGGGCAAGCAACTAAGTTCAATATATTTTGAATGTTTCTCAACTTCCCATGTGTTTAAATACAAGGCCTGCAGACCAGGTCAGGCACGAAGCACAGTCCTATCTGGCCCGCAAAATAATTTTCATTTTCTGTTAATATTAGCCCCTTTTACAGTGTTCTGCACTACAATCCCCAGCATGCGCTGCAACAGGAAGTGTGTTCGAACCCCCTTTCCCCCCCAACAACAATCTATGGAACAGCAGTTACACCTTAATCCTACCACACTAGTCACATTCTGTCTTGTATGCAGAGATGATGTGGCCGTAATAAAAGCATACCACATTAACTACCATTACGAAACAAAACACTGGAGAGTTGTATAGACAGCAGAGGCAACAGAAAAGTGGCAGTGATGAAGAAGAGCGTTCTTTGGCCCATGGATTTGCTGAGATTTTTTAGAGTTTGACACCCCAGCTCCACTTAAAGGTCCCTGACAAAAGCAATTGCCCTCATCCACATCCATCTTATGGATCTTGTGTAGGCTGGCACCGTTGCAAAGTGAATTTCCAGGACATAGAAGCAGAACCAACCACCATCAAAAGTATGTAAAATAAGGTGTACTCATGATTATGACTTTTCAAATTTTTATACAGCTAAATAAACACATTCTACCTATTTATATATTATATATTTAGAGGAGCTCACCGATTGCTAGTGTGGGAGTTCAGCAATAGGTGATGCTCTGAGAAAGAGTGGAAAATTAGAATGGGGAAAACCCTCAGAAAAACTAAGCATGATATTTGATCAGCAGCAGCTATGAGCTACACAACACAGAACACTTCGATTTCAGCTTTCACTGTAATACCAGTCACTTGACTTTGCACTTTCAGGCATTATTTTTTATCATCTAAACTTGTGTCAGCAGAGCACCAGTTAGTCAAAATCAAACAGGTATTGTAGCATGTGACACTGTTTTGATCTGCTAGAATCTCTTAGTTCAGTATATCTATCCTTTTAGTGTTGATCTCTTTATACTTTTCTTGTTTTCCCCTTATCATTTGCAATTTAATTTAGAAAATATTTTACTTACCATATGGGAGTGTAAATAGTATATTATTTACTCCAGTCTTAAAATGTTTTTCTAGTTTCACTAAAACATGCCAATTACAACATGCTGCCTGTTTCTTTTAAGATTTTGTTGATGAGGAGAGCTGACTGTTAAAATCAATATCACTCTGAGTACACTGACAGAGAAGAGTAGAATGTCTGTAAGGCATCATTGGTCTTATATTCTGCCAGTACCTCAACATGAATTGAGTAAAAATAAGCATGATTTGTGATAGTGTTACTATTATTTTGCAGCAATATCCCACAGCATTCCCCACTGTAGTCACGATAAAGGCAGCTGTTAACGCATTATATTTCACTCAGTCAGATGGTGGTAATGAATGATATGTGAATGACGAAACCATGAATGTTATAGACTTGGATTATTTTAAGACCTAGAATTCTTTGAATCTGAGCCCTAGCCTTCTTTACTTTCATAGCCAGATAATGAGGATAACAGTTAGACATTGTATTTGACTTCTCCTGCTCTTGATCACATTACTTTGCCAGATGGGGTAATTAGGACCATATTTCCTTCCATTTAATAAAAACTCTGAAAAGAGAGAGTGCAGCAAGAGAATGCAGAGCAAGTGACACATAACCGATGAACAAGATAATGATATATAAGAATTGGTGCAGTTGAATAATTATCATAAACATTTTATGAGTGGATTCACATGCATTTAACAGAAGAATGTGGACAATAAATGGCACCAGGACTGATGTACATGAAACATCAAAGAGTAGTATTGAAGCGGTATAGACTTACATATGTGTGATCTTTTTGAGGTTATAAAAAGAATGCTTTTCTAGCCTCCTCAGTGTGACATCAACGGACAGATAGCTGTGAAAAGAAATAAAATGAATCAAATATTTGTGATGTTTGTATTTGTACTAATTTAAATATTATTTATAACATTAATAATATCAAATCTCTTTAGGAATCAAAACTTTGCAAATATATGTTTCTAAATTGCAGGCAACAATAATTGTAAGTTGGAACTAGCTGCAAAAATGTTGCTTGGTCCCCTGTTACCACCAACAAATATACTGTCTCAATACACTTTGTTAAGTCCTGCTGTGTAGCTCTGTAGCTCAGCAGGTTCAAATTCCAGCTGTTATTTAAACACAATTGCGATATAGAACTGAGTAGACATCTTGACTGGGATGTGGTGCCCTACACACAGTACATGTTCTGCATATGTTATATGGAATATGAAACTGACAGTAAAACATTTTAGAAAATTGTTAAATTGAAATTGTATTTTAGCCAAACTTTTCAGTTTGTTCTTTTGTTTTTTAATTTGTGCATGAACATTATAGGCTAAACTACTATAGGTCAATCTTATCCATAAAGGGCCGGTGTAGCTGCAAGTTTTCATTACATTCATTCATTGTTAATTTCAACTAAAGGAAGCGTTAATTGTTCAGTTTTTAAAAAGCTTTTTCAGAATGTATTGTTCAGAGAAGCTAGCTCTGGGCTGGTTGACAGTCTGAAGGTGAGTTTAGCAAAGCAGCTCTTTAGGGCACAGAAAGCCCATTTGGTGCAGCAAAACGCTTGTGGCTTCATTTAAGTCGTAGCTCTGCGGGTAAATTGGGCCTTTGGGAGAGACATCAGCGGGTAGCTCAATGAGTTATTTCATGCGCTCAGTGTCGTTCACTTTCATGTCAGCTAATCATTTAAAAAAATATAATTGATACATCTCAATGGTTACGCAGTTTTAGTTGATGCATTTTAAATTATGAGTAGCATAGGAATAAAAAAGACAGGCTCAGTGACATGCACAGGCTTTGTGTAATTTACATTGCTGTATTAGTTTATGCTTGAAATTAAATAGGCTGTTACTGGGTGCTGTAGGTGAACAGAAGAAAGAGTTTTAGAAAGAGAGAGAGAAATACCCCCACCATGACTGGAGAGACAGCAACCCAGAACAGTGACCCAGGCATGGTGTCTTTAGTCTGGGTCATCCATTGTAAGGGAGCATGATATTTAATAAGGTAATACACAAGTTTCTGTGCTGATTATTTAATGACTAAGGCTTCCCACTCCAGGGCTGCATAATGGCGCTCTGCCTGGTTCAATTTTTCACTGAAGCAAACAACTGGATGCTCCTTCTTGTCAATGTCTTAATGTCTTAAGACAGCACAGCCCCAAGTCCTGTGTTGGATGCAGTGGTATGGACCATGAAGATGCTTAAAGTCTGGTTAAATTTGCGGAGGTTGGTCATCCAGCACCACATAAGCTTACTAGGACTTTCTAGTGCTTTCCTGAGCCAGTTAATAAGCTCATCCATTTTGGGGGGGGGGTCAACCTGTAAATGGATACCTCATTTAACCAGCATTTACAGAATCAAGATCTGAGCCGCCTGGCTTAAGAGCCATCATTTTTAAGGATCAAAATATAAAACAATATATTACAAATACAAATAATGAACAATACATTTTCAAATTCTGCATATATTTTTTTTATTTCTGTTTTTGCAGATATGTATCTACTTAGTAATCACATAAATGGCTAGCTAATGAATTATGTGAATTAATGAATCTATGAACTCTATGAATGAATCTCTTTTTAAATAGACACACATGTAGTTTTTTTTTCCAAATGGGAAAACTTTTTTGAATTTGCTATTGGAGATGAAGAAGTTACAACTCACTTTAAGCAACTGCTGTGATCCACATTACCTCAGATTAGGACTGGTCCATATAATTGAAATGCTTCAATCTCATGGATTCCAGACAATTCAGTACGAAACTCCAGAGTAAGAGGCTTATGAATCCGTTTTTCAAACACTTTATCATAAACTAGGAAAAAATGGAAATCACTTAATGATAGTAGGCTATAAAAAATGTCATACCGAGGTTTGAACAAAGATATACAAGTCAAACACACATTAATTTGTTTGGCGATAGGTTTGACTGTTGAAAGATAAGAAGCTTGTTTACCCACTGCAGAGTCGAGAGACTGAGGCATACAGAGATAGCAGGCTAACCAAACAGTTTAGCTGTTTTCTGTAAGTTATTAACACCAGTAAATCCTCGTACCTTGGTAACAGTCTCACATCAGCAGCAAAAAAAAGGATGGCAGTTAATTATGACAGGAATCCTTCAAGGTGTACTATTTTTGTACTTAGCTGACTGAGTCCCTGGCCTGTTTTTTGCTCTTTCTATGCCTGTTTTGTTGGGGGGATACTCTGGCCCCAAGCCGTATCCTGTTCCTGACTTGCTCCTGACCCTTTCTCATCCTCCTCCTGTCCATGTTTTGGAGCTGCATGTTAGAAGGAGTTTCTGTCATGAGCACATCAACTCATGGATTCGTTTTGTGGTACCAATGACCATGGTATATGGTGTATAGCATAATATTTCTGTATCACTGAAAGAGTTATCATTAAATAAAATCACATCAACTAAATATATGATGAGATTCTAAAATGTTGCATTGTAATGTATATTTACATCGTCATTACATCATTTTCCGAACCCCCCCACTCCTGGCTGCGCCTCAGCACCAAAGTATATTTCAAGTCTGTGAGAAACACCATTATCCTTAGCTCATATGCTGTGCCCATAACCTCACTGTCCAGTGCCAACAGAGAAGGCTACTTATGGTATTTTGGTATCTTACAATGAGATGATCCACTGTACATTTTTTCTACATTTATCAACTAAATGAAGTGGCTTAGAAACTTATAATTACATTGAAATACTGAGGTGAAATACATTTTTCATGGTGGTAAGATCAGTAATTTAATCTCAAACTAATGGAAATTTAGATTACTAGATTTTGAATGATGATGTTGAAAAACCACAAAGATCATTATCGACTATGATCTGAAGAGGATCAAATGATAGTGGCTAAAAGTTTAAAAAACTCACAACCTCTGATATTTTATTTTTCTCTTAAAATCTAGGCATGCTTTAATGTATCTACTTTACCCACATTACTGAGACGTTCACCATGTTGGAAAAGGCATTCTGAGGCACAGAGGTCAGTCTTGTTTCAAAGAGACGTCTGCAAGAAAAATGAGTGAAAAAAGTAAATTAGAAATACATTGTGAAAGTCTAATTTACATCATAGCATAGCGAGTGTCGTTTCCAATCTTTATCAGCCCATTCTCTCCAACTATAAACTCACTGCAGTACTTAAATGACTGTAGAGCAGAGTTATTCAATTACTAACTGACCAAACATGTATCATGGTATGCATGCAACAATAAGTTGGTACTTTCTTGTCTTTTTCTCCTAACCTGTTCTTTGCAGTAACTCTCTTGGGTCCATCTAGCTAGATTTCTGCAAAAAAATCACTGTTGACAAAGGAGACGCTCTTTAACAGTAAATATGGCAGGGTACAGGATCAGTTCATGCAGTTCATCTGTTCTGCAGACAACATCAGAAAAGGGAGTGTAGGGAGCAAAAATTGCTTCTCATTATTTCTTACCAAAATATGTATTTGCATCAGGGTTGACATATGCTGAACAGGCTCCCTAGGCAAGACCATAAATTCCACGCATAAATTGCACTTTCCCAAAGCAAAGGAAAGCATATTTTCATCAGTTATTTATTTGATACCATATGAATTTTTAAACGTCAAGAAAAAGTCAAAGTCAACTTTGTTGTTAGATGTGTTGAGTGAAGAATGAAATATGGCTTCCCCAGGACACAGTGCTACATTTAACACCGAAGAGCAGCTGACAACAGTGCAACGGACAATAAATACAAGAATTATAGACTATACAAACACTATACAAAAAAGACCTTTCTATATGTTATACAATAACTTTACATCCATTCAACACAACATAGTATTGACTAGACTAGTGTATTTTTCATCATTTGATAATTGGTCCTTCGCAGCATAACCACATGTACTGCCTGATGCTGCTGGCCTTCCTTACAGACCATTCATTGTAGATGTATTTGATGGCAGGAAAACTTGTTCCAGTGATGGAATGGATGGTCTTCACCAACCATTACAGTGTTTTCCTGTCTGAGGCAGAGCAGAGTCCATGCCTTACAGGTACGTTGCACATCAGGATGTTCCTAGTTAAGGACAGGTGTGTGCATGCTGATCCTCTTCAGTCTCCTTAGGAAACAGAGGCGTTGTTGTGCCTTCTTCAACATTGAGGAGAGATGTTCAGGCACCAGGATATGCTGTTGGTTATGTGCACACCCAGGAACTTGAAGCTATGAAGTATACAGTCATCTCTTTTGTCTTGGTGACATTCAGAGCAAGACTGTTGTCTTTGAACCAGAGCTCCAGCTGCCTTACTTTCTCTCTGTAGTCTCATTGTGGTTGGAGACCCCACAACTGTAGTATCATACAGCAAATGATGTGATTGGTGTGACTGGTGTGATGTCTGGACGCAGTAGTGGGTGAGCTTCGTGCACAGTAGAGGACTCACCACACAGTTCTGAGGGGCTCTGGTGATCAGAGTGATGGAGGGGAATGTCCTGTTCTGGGTCCTGACTGCCTGAGGCCTGTTGCTCAGGAAGTCTAGAAACCAGATGCAGAGTGATGAGATCAGTGGAGTCTGGTGACTAGCTCTTGGGGTATGATGGTGTGCAATGCCAAGCTAAAGTCGATAAACAGAATTCTAATATATGCTATATTCTGATTGTCTAAGTGTGATACGGCCAGGAGGATGTCAGCAGTTGATGCCATTAGCAAGGCATAATGGTGGGGGTCCAGTGTGGATGGAATGCAATCCTAATGTGAGCTATGACCAGCCTCTTGAAGCACTTCATGACAATAAAGGTGAGTGCAACAAAGTGGTAGTCATTAAGACTGGTGACTGAGTCACTGGAATGATGCTCTATGCCTGGAAGAATACTTTGTTCTAAATGAGGACCCACCTTCACAGAAGACAATTTAGTACACAGCCCTTGTTAAAACGGCCGTGGAGGAGGCATAGCAAACTGAATGGTCTAGGTGTTAATCAGAAAACAGGTCACAAATTTTGCTCTTTTATGTCTGGAACACTGTACTTAATTATAATTACTTCATTTCACTGAAATACTTCATTTAATATGACTGTAAATCTGAATACTTACATTTTTGCACATTTTATTTCCACAACAATATGTGACTTGCATTTTTTGCACATTTTACTTCACTTTAACAATGTTATCTGCTAGAATTACTGAAAGACTGTATACTATATATTGTTGTTCTGGTCGCTAGCTCAGTGACTGCTATGCTCATATGTGCTAGGCTATATGCTAAGCTGTTAATACTGTATGTCATAGTATGTTACATCCTCCTTTGCACAACTCCATATATTCTTCTGTACCATGCACTGCCTGTGTTCTGTTTTGTATCATTGTACATTTTTTGTATTTGTTTATCGTACTGTATTGTCTGCACTGTGTATATATAATCTTAGGTTACTATTTAGCACAATTTCCAAATTAACTAAAAAACAGTCAGCTACAACTATTTCTTGCTTTTTTCAAAAATAAAATTGAAGCTATTAGACAAACAGTTCAAACTGCAAAGTAAATATCTGCTGCCCTGCAAAGCCAATCCAGATCCTGAGTACAGTGCAGAAAGGTTGGAATCCTTTACTCTATTTCAAGAAGTTGAGCTAGTTAAATTATTTCCTCCTCAAAACCTTCTCCTTGCATACTAGATTCAATTCCAAAGAAAAGTTTACTTGAAGAAATGTTATTAGAAATAATAAAGCCTTTTAATCAGCAATAAATCTTTCAGCCTTAGCTATGAACCAAAATTCTCACATTAGTGATTAGCAGTAAATAAATTTCTGATTAAGAAACAGATAACACTATTTTGAGTAGTTCTTTGTAGATGATTAATAAACTCCTGACACATTATCAGTAACATGGCAACAATATATCAGAGAAGTAGCAGAGAATTTGCAGTAGTGCAGAATCTGAATCTATTGAAGTAAATATCTTGAAGATGTACTGTTTGTACATTAATTGCAATAAATGTGTTATTTATATGTTACATGAAATAGACTTAATATGTTAATTCCATCAGACAAAACCGAACCTTACTCAACCTTAGCCAAACCCTTACCCTGGCCCTAATCCTAACCCTAATCTCAAACCAAAACCTAATCCAAACCCTCACCCTTTCCCTAATCCTAACCCAAACCCTAACTTAATCTCAACCTCAACCTGAAACTTTATCCTAACCCTAACATTAATCTCAACCTCAACCCAAAACCTTATCTGAAACCTAACTCTAGTCCTAAATGTAACCCTTGTCCTAATCCTAACCCTAACTCGGTGCCTAAATTTAACCCTTGTCCTAATCCTTGTCCTGACTTTAATATCAACCTCAACCTAAAACCTAATCCCAACCCTAACTCTGGTCCTAAATTTAAAACTTGTTCTAATCCCAACCCTAACTATGGTCCTAAATTTAACCCTTGTCCTAATCCTAATCCTAACTTTAATCTCAACCTCATCCTGAAATCTTATCCTAAAACAGAAGTTCTTCTTCTTGGCCCATAAACTGCTAGAAACAGATCTTCTGACTTAATGCTAAATCTTGCTAGCTTCTCAGTTGCATCAGGTACATCTGTGAAAAACCTTGGTATCACAAACAATTCCGATCTGTCCTTATATGCACATATAAGTAATATTACTAGAATAGATTTCCTTCATCCTTCATCATATTTCTAAGTTAAGAAATGCACTGTCCCTATGGGATGTGGACAAACTAGTTTTCGCATTTATTACCTCAAGTCTTGATTATTGTAATGCCCTGCTGCCTAAAGCCTAAACCAGCTTCAGTTCAGAATACTGCAGCCCTTACAAGTCCTTACAAAAGTTAGAATTTGGGCCATATCAGTCTGGTTTTATCAGCACTACATTGGCTGCTGGTCAAATACCACATTGATTACAAAATTCTGATACTGATATATAAAGCTCTAAACAACCTTGCCCCACAGTACCTGAGTGAACATATCTATCAATATGAATCATCATTCAGAACACAAGGTGCTGGCTTACTATTAGTATCTACAATTAACAAAGTTATAGCAGGGGGTAGAGCTTTTTCTTACAAAAGAGAATCAGAATCTTTATTTACCAAGTACCAGATGTACAAGGAATTTTTCTTAGCGCAGGTGCCAACATCAAATTTGATCCAATAAAATAAACATATAGAATCTGCAAGCAAAGCCCCCCAGCTTTGGAATAATCCTCCAGTCCAGGCTAAAAACCTGACCCAATTTGTTTTTTTTTTTTTTGTTTTTTTTGGCAACCCCTCGCAACCCTTCTCAAATTGAGCCCTGTTGCAACTGAATATGGGAGCTTGTTTGAGGGATGTACTCTCTGGCTAGTTATAGGCAGGAATTTCAATATTTACAAACAATCTTTAGAATGGAACCTGATTTGGAAGCTTTAGGAGCAATCAGATAATGGTCTATTCAGTTACAATTTTAAAAATACCAAGACTGTACTGAAGCAGAAAACAGTAATGCACATGGCCATCTGTGAATGACGGAATACCATTCAAGGTGCCAAAGATGGAAATAAGTGGTCCACGATCTGTTTGTATTGTGAATCTACATGCAAAAACAAAATTGTGAAATTTCTTACATCAAATGCAATTGCTAATTCACACTACATGCTCAATCTAACGGTAACTGCTCTCACATTTGCACAAGGTCCAAAATGTAGAGGGAACTAGTTGTTCTTTACTAGATGATAAAAAATGTCATACTACGGCAGCCATACCATACAATGTGTGTGCTGCATTTCAGCCCTGTGAATGCCAGTTAAGCAGAGATTATTTAACAGAGTTTGAAGTTTCAATTACAGTTTTGTGATTTTCTTGCTCAAATACACCCACTTCATCTGGCAATTACTAGATGAGTACAATCAGGCGAGGTTTGGGAGCTGCAATTTATTTATAGATTTGTTTGTACATTTGCAATTGCTGTTTATATTGATATATAATCTATTATATGTGTTGCAAGTTTTCTTGTGAATAAATTTACAAATATACATATTGTTCTTTACAAAACTGTTATGTTGAAG